GGAAATGTTTGAGCACTGGTTTAGTTGTTGAAGACTTCCTCATGGTGCTGTTATAAATCCCTCTTTCTTAAGAGATGATCTAAACAATTCCATTTATTATTACCTAAAGACATATTTTTGCCTACATAATTTACACTGCTATTTATTTATTTATTTAAAATTCTTTTTAGTGAAACACCATGAGGTACAGTTATAGACTTACAAATTTTTGTACTTGGGTTTCAATTATACAATGATCCAGTACCCATCCCTCCACCAGTGCCCATTCTCCATCATTTACATTTTTTAAAAAATTTTTGTTAGTGAAATACCATGAGGTACAGTTGTAGATTTATAAAGTGCTATTTAAATGTAGAAAATTAGAAATAAATAAAATGTGAACACAACTAGGAGTGACCCCTGAGCACAGCGCTAGGAATCAGCCTTGAACATAGCTGAGTATGGTTATGACCCAACACCCCCCCCAATCCCCAAAGAAATAAAATGTACATAGTATTATTATGTGTTTATACATATTGTCTATTAAGAGTAAATTGATATCAATATAGATTAAATTTGTAAATATATTATGTTTTCCATAATTTGCAAGGTTTATTATCACCTGGGCAGTGGATACAAACAAAAAGTCTGATTTTTATCAATGAATCTCTGAGGTTTTTCTGGGGAGTGGGCATGGGAGTAAAGCAAGTTTATTGGGCAAATGAAAGGATGGAAGGAGTGAAGTAGGTAAAGATATAGATATGTGTTCAAGAGAGAACATGGACTTCTCTAGAATGAAAAGAGCCTCTATGGGTTTTTTCATTTCTGTTGTTGTTCTTCTTTGTTTTTTGGGTGATACTGTGGGTGAGTTTTTAACAGAAATTTACTGGAAGACTTTTCTAGTGTACGACTTATGATTTTGGTAGTGGTGTCCTTAATGAAAAAATGAAAAAAAGGTTTCTTATTTGATCCCCTTTTCTTCTAACATCCTATATATGTTTAAAGGGATATTTTGAGACTCAGGGGGAATCCATAAAACTTTTTTTTTCAAATATTAGCAGTGGTTGCTTTTCACAGACTGATAAAGTGTGTGTCTTCCCCCCCCCCCCCCACCCACCACCATGATTATTGCATTCTGTTCAAATGTTTTAATTTGTGATTTTCTTTGGACTATAGTGCTGTGTCAGTCAGGATAAACTCATTCATTCATGCTTTCATGCATCAATTTATATGTGTCTCAGTATCTTTTATCTGAGATCTACCTACCATCTCTTTAAGTCTGTTTCACATTAGACTCATTCTTTGTAATGGAGATTATAAAGGACACAGAAAAAAATAAAATGATTTTATTATTTTCTGTATTGAGTCTTTGTTATTTGGGACAAATGAGCCACTAAATGTAAAATAAAACTAAATAATGTATGCTGATTTTCTTTTCTTTGATCCCTTTCTCCTTGATTTTCTTACTGACTTTTGATGAAATTCATGCAAGTAATAATTCCAACATGAATATATGATCACTAGTATTCTAGTATTGCTCTTAGTCAAGATTTTATAAAGGTACTTATACCCACTGATTGGGTAGGGGCTTTGGTTCTCTTTTTTCTCTTTTTTTCTCCTTTTTCATCTTTGTACCTGGGTCAGACTAGGCATTCACACTGAGCCAAGTTTCCTTTATGTTCCTAATATCCAGATTTTCTGATGTTGTTGAAAACTCCAGAAACTTAGGAAATATGTTTATGAAATTCCTTGCCCTCTATCTTTTCATATCTCTTTAATACAAAAAGTAGATAAGGCTACTTGAGGAAGATGTGGTCAGAAAAGACCTTGTATTTTAGGTGTATTTCACTGTCAGTGAATTTAGGGAACCAATACAGGAAATTTGAGACCATATTTTTCTGGGCAGTCAAGACAGATGCTTTATCCATGGCAATGAATTTCTTAAAATGTTAATTATATATACATAGAATAAGCATGAAACTACTGATCTTTTAATTTATTTCTCTAGGCAAAAAATAAAAAATAAAAAGGACCCATTCCATCTAGAGAAAATTAGTATGTTTGTGGTTTACAAGGTTGCCCTAAAGAATCTTTCAGCAGAGCTTCCCATTTTTCCTTTTCACTGGGAACATCTATTGGAAACGTTGCAAACTCACTGTAATGCAGTTGCCATCTTCTTGCATAAATATGCTGACTAAGCTGAGAATCTTAAATGAATAAGTACAGATGCTACAAAAAAAACTTCACAAAAATTACACAAATCATATGTTGTATGATCTTGCTTCCCTACACATTCTGCTCTGAACTCTCCAGAATGGCACCTTAAGAGTGTTTGAAATCTCAGAAATTTCAAAATTTTGGTCTAGTGGTGAACCCTGATTCTGGGTGAACCGTTTTTGAACTTTGCAGGTGGACCTTGTTTGACTTTGTCCCTGTGGTCATCTCAAAAACTTGAACATTTGGGGGATATACTTTGTAGAAGTGTTCCTTTCACCTGTATTTTTTCTTCCATTTATCAGATCTGAGCCACATCAAATAACCTAAATCTCTTCATGCGTCATAGGTGTTTTTTCCCTTCATTTCATATTAGTGGATCTAGTACTATACTGATTAATGTGATAGCATCAAAAGCATTTTTATGGGTCCCCCTGATTAACATAGGCATGTAGAAAGTTGAGAAACTATTCCTTCGATAATGGCCCCTAAACCTTGATTCTTGACAGGATACACAAATCCTTTATCAATAGTGAGTACTAAGTGAAGAAATGAAGACTCAGCACTTGGAGGTTCTGTTAAAATTGCCACTGCTTATTTAGAATTGGAGAATATTAAGAAGTTTGAGTTTTAAGAAGGAAAACTGAAGCTGAAAAAAGTAGTAAAGCTATAATCATTATGAGTATCCTATATTTTTACTAATTCACTAATTAGTAAATTACTAATTAGCATTGCCTAATATAAAAACTTTTCATTTTCCGCAACAAAGTCTCTTTTTTTCTTTCCTACGGGTGGTGAGCCTCAAATCTGGGGTCTCAGACAGATAAGGAATGTGCCCTATCACAGAGCTACATTCCCAGCATTATAATAAGGTGTCTTCAGTAACTATCACTGAGCAATGGAGGGTCTCCCCTTCCTTAGTGGTGCTCTGTATAAAACTCCACACTCATTTGATGTATATTCGTGGCTGGCACACTAGAATTAATAAGTTTATTTTTATTTCATTCAGAAATGAAATATGATTGATAATATTGATGACTTGATAATTTTATGCTAGGAGAGTCTTAAAAGACTATATGTCTAAATATTGATATTCTATACAGCATCTAATTACAAATTACTGTTTTTGTCAAAACAGAAGTTTAGAGAAGTATAAAGAAAACTGAAATCACATTTAAGCCTTCTCTCTAGAAATTAGAATATTTTGATTTATTGTTTTTTGTTTTAATGTATCTGTATGCAGGGATGCACAGGCTAATTTCAGCAGCAACCTTTAATATCAAAAATTAAGTAGCATGAAATATAATTTCACCTTATATTAACATTAATATATTAAGATCATTTCCAATTTTTATTTTAAAGACAATCAATGAGATATTTGTGATTATTCACAAATTATATCTAGACTATACCTAGAATAGGTAACTCGGCTTTTGTGCTTTGGGCCACAATCAGTGGTGCTCAGAGATTACTCCTAACTCTGTGCTCAGGGTCAATGCTGTTAGGGCTCTGAGAACCGTATAGGAAGCAAACCTAGGTTGGCTTTGAGCAATGACAGTGCTGTAGGGTCTGTACTATGTTGCTCTGGCTTCCTAATTTAGCATTTTTAATATGTATAATCGAGATGGCCAAAAATGCTACCTCAGAGTCTAACCAATTTCTATTCTTGATTTATAATAACTCTTATTATTTATACTGCACTCAGATTTACCATATAAAATATTTTCTACTTAATAAAGTCAATACTTTCATCGTAAATATAAATTTCTATAGAAATAAAGTTTTTATAAACCATCTTTAAAAATATTAGAAATAAGTTTTATTAAACTGAAAGAAAAAACTATAGAAATGAAAAATAAATCAATTAAAATTATGTGATATTGAGCACAGCTGTAATATTATGTCTTTCTGCAATAAAAATATGTAATATCATGGTGAGCTCTCAAAAACCATATTTTGAGATAAGTTTTGTCTTTATGTAAAATAGAGAAAGAACCTGTTTATTTTGTTTGTTTGTTTTGGGGTCACACTTGTCGGTGCTCAGGGTTTACCCCTGATTGCACTCAGGAATTACTCCTGGCAGTGATTGGGGGACCACATGGGGAGCTGAGTTTTGAACTTGGGTTGGCTGCATACCAGACTATGGGTTTTAAACAAAATTTGTAATCGATAACTATAATAGCACTGTAGCACTGTCCTCCCATTGTTCATTTATTTGCTCGAGCGGGCCCAGTAACGTCTCCATTGTGAGACTTGTTACTGTGTTTGGCATTTCTAATACGTCACGGGGAGCTTGCCAGGCTTTGCCATGTGGGCAAGATACTCTAGGTAGCTTGCCGGGCTCTCTACATGGGAGTAGAGGAATCGAACCTGGGCGACCAAGGTCAGCTTCGTGCAAGGCAAACACCCTATCTGCTGTGCTATGTAACCATTGTATAGCATTTAAAAATGCCAATTAATTTAAAGTAGCTACTTTTTCTTGAAAGCACCTGGTCTTTGGGATATAAAAAATAAAGCTCTGGAGCCAAAGTTATAACGCAGTGGGTAGGGTGCTCTTCTTGAACACAGCTGACTGAGGTTCAATCCCCAGAACCACAGTGTTGTCCTATATCTGGCAGGAGTGATCCCTGAGCACAGAGCCAGGACTAAGTCCCGAGCATAGCTGGGTGTGCTCCTCAAACCAAAATAATAATTATAATCATAATAAAGAAAATAAAATTTAAAAAAATACTCTGTGTAAATGTCACAAGCAATGTTGAGTCCTGTACTTAACACTGGCATTCTCTGTTTGCTTTTTCCCTATTTAGGATATCCAGGCAGAAATTGATGCCCATAATGACATATTCAAAAGTATTGATGGGAACAGACAGAAGATGGTGAAAGCTTTGGGAAATTCTGAAGAGGCAACTATGCTTCAACATCGGCTGGATGATATGAACCAAAGATGGAATGACTTGAAAGCAAAGTCAGCGAGCATCAGGTGAGAATGATCGAGATTAAAATAAAGATAACAGGAGAAGGAGTCTTGAAGTTGTTGTATAATAGAAAGTGAACATTATACGTCAACGTCCTTTGTCTTTCTCTGATATAAGTTAAGGAGTGGGGCCAGAGAAATAGTACTACAAGTAGGATGTTTGCCTTGCGCATGGCTGACCCAAGATTAGTTCCCTGTATGGTCTCCGGAGTACCACCAGGAGTGATTCCTATTAATGGGATTGCCAGAAGTCACATTGCCAGAAGTAATCCATGACCACCACTGTATGTGATACAAAAACAAAAAACAACACCCCAAAAAAGGTTCAGATAATGACAACTTAAATGGTTCCCAGATCACTGCCAGGAGTGACCTTTGAGCATCACTGTTGTGGCCAAAAAAAAAAAAAGATTTAAATTATTTCCTTATTTGTGTTTTGTTATTTTTTTGAGGGGATCAGAGTTTGATCCTTTCAAACCAATAATTAGGGGCCCATAGAGTTACTCTTTTTTTTTTTGGCTTTTTGGGTCACACCTGGCGATGCACAGGGGTTACTCCTGGCTTTGCACTCAGGAATTACTCCTGACGGTGTTCAGGGGACCATATGGGATGCTGGGAATCAAACCGGGTCAGCAGTATGCAAGGCAAACACCCTTGCACTACCCAGTGTACTATCACTTCAGCCCTGATGGAGTTACTCTTGCTGATAATAAGCCACCCAGAACAGAGAGATGACTCAGTGCTCAAACCCAGCAATTATGGGGGCCACCAAGGTGACACCTTGGAGTGTTTTGAGGACCAAACAGTGCTGGTGCCAAGAGGCTATTACATACATCCACACGCAGCTGATCCTGAGCTATCTCCCAGCCCCATGAATTTATATTTTAGCTCCATTAATGCCCAGTGTCCTCTGCCAGTTGTTTCAAACAGCTTACAGATTTACAAATTCTTTTTAAAACCAGCAAATACTGTTAACAATAATTTTTCCAACACCTACTAATTACAGTTTACTTGAACCAAATAGTGTTTAGGCCTATTACAAATATCTCTTTATTATTTGGTATTTAAAAACATCTCAATAAGACAAATGGTACAAGCCTTTATAAGAATGATTAAAAAAAACACCTCAAACTTAATGATATAAAGATCTTGCCAAAATTTTGAGCTAGCAAGTGCCAAGCTAGGATTTGAATCTAGGTCTTTTTGACTCTTGGCATTGAATATGTTTTGCTTCATCATGCTTGGTAGGTGTAATTTGAAGATGTTTTTGCAGAAATCAAGTATCTCTTATGAACTCTAAGGCAGAAAACTTGATGATTCATGCCTGCATTTAGAGAGATAAAATTAAATAAGGGTGAATCTGAGGACCTATAGGGAAGGACAACCAGTGGCTTGGAAGGACCTCTTGTTGGGGCTGAAGGGATAGTGTAACAAGTAGGTCTTGCACATAGCCAACACGGGTTCGATCATCAGCACCCGTTATGGTCCCTTACATGCTATTGGGAGTGATCCCTGAGCTCAGAGCTATAGTGACAAGAAAGGAAAGGAGAGAAGAGTTGAGGGCAAGGGAAGGGAGGGGAGGGAAAGGTTGGAAGGGAAGAGAAGAGTGGGGAGAAGAAAGGAAGAGAGGAGGGAAGGGAGGGGAGGGAGTGGAGAAGGGAGGAAAGGGGAAAGGGAGGAAGGGGAGGAAGAGTGGAAGGAAAGAAGGAAGGGAGGGGACTGGAGTGATAGTACAGCGGTTCAGGCATTTGTCTTGCACTCAGCCAACCCGAGTTTGATTCCCAACATCCCATATGGCCAGGAGTTATTCCTGAGTGCAAAGCCAGGACTAACCCCTGTGCATTATTGGGTGTGACCCAAAAAGAAAAAAAAGAGGGAGGGATGGAGACAGGCTACCTCTATGGCCAATAAGATGTTACTGGAGGGGCTGGAGCGATAGTAGAGCAGGTAGAGCATTTGCCTTGCATGTGGCCGACCTGGGTTCGATTCCCAGCATCTCATATGGCCCCCTGAGCACCGCCAGGAGTAATTCCTCAGTGAAGAGCCAGGATTAATCCTTGAGCATCTCTGGGTGTACCCAAAAAGAAAACAAAAAGATGTTACTGGAAGTCAGTAATGTTGAGCATCTTATTAATCAATTAATGATAGAAAATTTACAGGAAACTTGCTGAGAACAGGGATGCCAAGGATCGAACCCAGGTCAGCCACATGCAGGTCAAGAACCCTACAAGCAACTGATCTGCTATACTATCGCTCCAGCCCCTGAACAAAGATTCTTTTTTTTTTCTTTTTGGGTCACATCTGGCAGTGTTCAGGGATCATTCCTGGCTATTGCACTCAGGAATTACTCCTCATGGTACTCGGGGAGACCATATGGGATGCTGGAGATTGAACCAGGTTGTCTGTGTGCAGTGCAAATGCCCTACATGCTGCACCATCATTCCAGGCCCTGAACAAAGATTCTTAAAAAAATGTTCGGGGTTTGGAGGGTAGAAAGATAATAATGTATGAGGTGCTTATCTTGAATGCAGTGACCCGGGTTCTGTTCCTAGCACTGTATACTATCTCTGGAGTGATCACTGAGTACAGAGCAAGGAATAAGTCCTAAGCCTGACGTATCCTGAATAACAAAAAGAAAAATGTTAGAAAGATTGAGATTTTATTTCTGCATCAGTTTCTTTCTACTTTCAGAAATTCTATGATGTAGTGAGAAAAGTAGAACGTTTCAGCATGATCTTGAATTTGACTCTTTGACCTATTTATGTTCTCATCTCAGACAAGACACTTAGTCTCTCTGAGCCTTACTTTTCTCAGTAAACTATTTAACCCATGATTGCTGTGGATTGAATGTGAGGATATGCTGGGACCTTATCTATGTAAAAGCAGTCTCACAGGCTGTGATGTGTATTTGTTCACATAAAAGGGCTCAATGGATCTGCCTCAAAGTGTTTCTGGATTTCATAGAACTGATTCATAGTGTATAGACGTCTTCCATGGTTATTCATTGTGGATGCATTCTTTTAAAATAATTTCTTTCCACAAAGAAGCTCTGAAAGGTTTTTATTCTTTCAAGGCATAGAGGGGGATTCACACTTCTTTTTTCTCTTCAAGTGGAGAGTTATATAGCAGGACTATGGAAGCCTCTGTGTAGAGATCTTGTTGGAAATTATGTCAGAATCTGCCAATTTCTCATTTTTAAGAAGAGAGAGACATTAGCAAGCATTATACAGTGAGGGAACATACTTGTACTTGTTTAAGATTGAATTTCCAGTTGGCCAGATTCCACTGGTCTGCAACTTTCTGTTGCTCATAAATAAAAGCAATTAAGATATTTCGAATATGAGCACACAGAGAAACATTCACAGAGATTCTAACACAACTGACGGCTAAGCTAATCAGCTAAAAGCCACAAGGCTGGTGTGGTAAAGATCATGCAAATCACTTAGAATTTTGAGAGTCGGGAATGCATCTTTTTCGGTTGGAAAATTTAATGACTGCCTACATCATAAACACATTATTCCAAATGGAAAACTTCAGACAAAAATAGTTTGACTTTTTATGGGTATTATTATCTAAGACTATCAAATCACATTGTTTTTTAACCCAGAAAGAATTAAGTCATAAACTAAAGATGTGATACCAATAAATAAATTGTTATTTTTAGAAGAGGGAAGAATAAGCTTTTGCTAGTGTGTTTCTGCATCAAGATAGATGTACATTCCAGTAAAATATGCTACTAATGTAGCAGTGTTTTTTAAAAAGACTCAGTTTAATTTCCAATTGCTGGAGATTTTGGCTGTTGTTCAAGCATATTTTGCTGTTGATATAAAGGGGATATACTGTGGCTCAGAAAATATCCATCAGTATAGGTGAGACACAAGTTATGGAACTCCTATGATACCATTTTCTGTTCCACTCTCAGTGGAATTTGAAGTTGTTCTGGCAACATAATTATATTTGAGCACTGAGAAAATTCTCTTCCATCCAGTTCTGGGGGTTGTATTAGATGAGAACAATTCTGGAGCCTGGATGAGCTGCTAAGGGTCCCTTTCTATGTCTTGAATAAAAGAGATTGGATTGATGATTTTTGTTGTGGAGGCACGGATCCGGTTCTACACACAGTAACAATAAGCCATTGGATAGAAATCTGCTCTTTGCTAGGTAGTTATAGATCAGGGAGATCAATAATGGAAAGTGGAGCATTCAGATAGAGTGACAGGTAAACCTTGTGCAGAGGCAAGAGGATGAGAGATTAGAAAGATCACAGCAAAGAATTCCAGGAAACCCTAACAATAGGGAATAGATGACAGTAAAAGTAAGTCAGCCAAGGAAGGTGGGAATTGACAGTCCTTGAAGAGAGGGTTGTAAGGAATCAGGAGAGGAAGGAATTTCTAAATGAGGGCAGAGTTAGTAGTGTTGATCCTTTGAAGAGGCAGAGTAAGAGGTCAGGGTTACAGAGTTCAAGAACCAAGTCCACTAGAACAACTTTTTTGCTGGGGCCAGTTTGGGGTTTCAAGTAAAAGCATGATTGCAGAGGACTCAAGAATCAGAAAGGAAAGTGAAATGGAAATAGAACTCAATCTGTGGTTTTTATTTTCTGAAGTAACTGTTAAGAGGGCGATGAGGAGAGAGAACACATCACTGTAAATATGCTGTTATACATAAAAGTATCACAGGGCGAGATCACTATCTATATAGAGCTGTCCACATTTTCACATGGGTTAGATATATTTAAAGCAGATAATGAGACAGTCATCATTTTTATCTTCAAGGGGCAAAATAAACTATGTTAATATTTTCATTACTACTTGGATGTTTATACACATCAGATGGCTTATTATTCTCAATAATGAGCCCATTCATAGAAAGCACACCTCAGAGAGAAGTAGTATAGAATGGTGTTACTAGAATTCCTGGAGTTAGGCCTCTGTGTTTACCACTGGCTTTGCCACTGAGCAACTGTACCTTCCCAGAAAGGTTATTAGTCCTTTCAGTATTTCCTCTTC